GCCCCCTCTCCGCTGCGGTTTGCGCGCTGCCGGTCACCGGCGTTTGCTGCTGCTGCTGCTGCTGCTGCTGCGGAGGCCGCTCCTTCTGGCCGCCAAGGCTGCTGTACACGAGCAACAAGCTGGTGCACATGGTGGTGAGCGCTAAACACACTGCCAGACCATGGCGCTGCGGGCGAGCGGGAGAGAGCAGAGGAGAACCGCTGAGCACTGACCCGAGAGGAGCGCGCGGGGCAGGGACGCCCGCGCAGCGGTCAGACTAGCATGGGAAGTCCTGGGGCTGGGGGCCTGGGGGCGGGCGGAGACCCTAGCCCCGCGGCGCTCGGCTCGGGCAGAGGAAGCACAATCCCGGCGTGTACTGCAGGGATGTTGCCGGCGCGTCACTGCCCTCGGCCGCCGCCGCCCAGATCTTTCGGTAGAGGGCAGGTGCGTCCGGTAGCAGGAGGAAGAGCGCGCGCCGGCAAGGACAGGGGTGGGCTCGCACTCCGGGGAGGGGAACCTCTGCCCCAGCTAAGCTGCTGGAATCTGTAGCCCTTGCACCCTTTTTACTGGGCACCCGCGGCTCTACCTCGGCGAGCCTTGCAAGTTTGAAATACGACAAGCAAACCAAGAAAGTATGCAAAGGTCCCCCACTCCCCGCCCCTCTTGGCTTTTGCCAGGTTGTTGCTTTCGGGCATCCCCGGTTCCTGGAGCAGTCTGCCCACTACTCCACTGCTTCTCCAGCTCTCCGTCGGTCCCTCGGACCTTTGGCCCGAGATCCAAGAGCTGAATCCTATCCCGGTTCTGGGATACCGAGCCAGGCAGAGCTGGGGAATCGGGAGGAGATGCGGAGCAGGTGGAAAGTTGTCCCTTTGTAACACGCAACCTCGCGGCTCAGGGTTAGGCACCCCTTAGACTCCCGGTGCGCCCCGGGGAGACTGAGCCAGGGGGTCCCTGCCTCTGCTCGGTGTAGTTGCAACAACTGACTCACCATCAGGGTCTTCATTTTGGGCACTTCTTTTGTGCGGAATCCTCAGGCACGCGCGTCCAGAGCCACTTTTTCTTGGATGGTTTCCATGGTGGGTGCTGAGGCGGAGACGGCTCTGATTTTCGCCCGACTGCCGGCAGCGACTGAGCCCGCGCGGGAGCCACGGGACCCTGGAAGCACTGCTGTTGCAGAGATTAGAGAGAGAATTAAAACTGAACCGGACCCTCGTAGTCTCTCAGTCATCTACACAACTGCCGCCTGCCGCCGCCTGCTGGGTCCTAAAGGCGTCTCCATCACCCCTCCCTCCCCCCAAATAATGATCTTTTCAGCAGATTGAAATTTCTGGGGCGAGAGAGTTAACCGTTCCAGTGTACCGACTTCTCGGTCCGAAGGCTTATGTATCTTTTATGAAATCATCAAGTGAAAAAGGAAGGAGGCCTGACTGGATTTTGGACGTGATAGCCAATGGAAAATTTGCAAACTAAATTTTCTATTTTATGCTTTTGTCAAAATATGTCAACCTCCTAAATGTCAATAGGCCAATTTATAGCTTTCTAGTTTATGTTTATAGCATGGAGAAAGCTATCATGTAATTAATTTTCCTAAAAAATTGTTATTAGTTCAGTTTTCCAGTTGCAAGCTTTCTAATTTTCTCTTCTCCCTTCTTTTTACTTTTAGTTGTTCTCCTGCAATCTTTAGATCATAATATTTCATCTAAATCATTTTATTCATTATTTACTTTAAATATTACGGTTTTTTTTCCCCCTATCTGCCCTTTGAGGTTCCTGGTGTTCACCTAGGAATTTTAAAGTTTTAAAAACATTCAGCGCATCACATCCACATGAACTGGACTCTTCCTAATTTCAGTGGAGAATTTCTGGCTGCTGGAAATGAAAGTGCTTATGGCTTATTTTACAAGAATCTTAAAGCCTTTGGTGCTTTCCTGATGTCGGACTACTGCTCTGGCAGAACATCACTTCACGTTTGGATCTTGGATTAAAATTAAAAAAAAAAATATTGTTTTCTATTAGGAAATCCATATCAATGGCCTGTTTTAAGGCTACTGTCTTCCCTGAATTGAATTACCAATGGCATTTGTTAAATGTCTAATTTAGCTAAAAACATATTTCTTGTGAAATTGCTCAGGGAAGAGAGTTGTCTTAATGTACTACTTAACACCTCACCTGTAGCGGTGTAATGTTAAAGATGACATTAAGATGAAAATGATCATCAGGCCAACTGAACCATGGGCATAATAAGAGCTTTCTCAAGGCCAAAAAAGGCATTACAATCCTTTTTTAATCTTCACTAATCTGTTGCTGGACTGATGATACAACAAAAACTATTTTTAACTTATGAGACATCCTTTCCATACAGAGTATTCAGACAGTTAAAACTATTGGTGCCATAGTAAATATCAGTGCAATGTGTTTGCAAGAAATGCATGAGATTCAGCCTTTCAAGGGAAAAACGAAAATTCAAAACACCGTCCAACATTGCCAGCCTTGAATCTATTTATTCAATTTGTGCTCTAGGCATGAATAGTACCAGTTGTTAGGGTAGGAAAAGCAGCAGCCGGAGGAGAATCTTATCAGGTCTTGGCAATTCTTTAGTGTATGGTTGTACTTGACACTCAAATTAATGAAATAAAGGATCAACTTGATGAATCATTGCAACCAGATTATCTGTGTTTCTCCAGGGCTCCTTTTCAGCTGCTTCTAGAAGTAGTTCCTGCATTTTTCAGGATCATTCCCCCTCCATCTAGGAAATGGCCAGTGATCAATATAACATTTCTGAAATATTTTGCCATTCCAAACAGAGGCATCATATTTATGATTTAAGCTCATGGTGGCATGTTGGACATCTGTTACACGGTATGTCTGATCGAATTCATTAAGGCTTATGCTCCCCCCTCCCCCGCCCAAACACACATGGGATAGCAGTTAGCCAGTTGCTAATCTACTTATGAAATGGACAGAGTACATTTAAAAATTTAATTCTGAGCTTAATTTGAATGATTTCAAGGTCTCTAGCTGTCTGATATTTGATTAGACTGGTGCAACAGTTTTAGACAGTGGGGCCTGAAAGCCAAATGGACATGATGGAGTGGGGGAGGGAAGATACAGTAGCAAGAAACAGAAGTTAATTCAGTTCAATGACCATTTAGTGCATCACCTGTTACCTGATGGCTCTCTGTTAGGGAATGTAGAGATGAATAGGACACAGACCTTTTTCTCTAAGGGCTCATAACCTAGTGTGTGTGTGTGTGTGTGTGTGTGTGTGTGTGTTCAGTCAAGTCCATGAATAGGCATTAAAAGACAGTAGTGTAGATTCAACATATGTTATCAAGCACTTATTATGTTAAGTGCCTGGTCTGTTGAGCACCTACTATGTGCTAGGTATCTGGGATACCAGGGCCACATGCTGTCCCCCAGGAATCTACAGTCTATTCCAGATTGGTGCTAGGAACATTGATGTTACAAAGAACTAGGAATGATCAGCATACCTGATTTTTTTTCAGCTTCTGATTGCCTGCTTTTTTAAGGTCTGAGGGCTTTGATATTTCTGGTCATCCATTTATGTTCATGTAACTTTATGCACACTTGTAAGTTAATGGCTAGACTAACCAGAAAGGACAGAAAACAGACAGCTTTGACAAACATTTGACTGACTTAGAGATGAGCAGGCAAAAAGACAAGTCAATGAAGCTTTTGCAGTTCATCTAACTTGCACTTTTCAATATGAAGTGAATCGGAGAATCACAATTTGCTTCTCTAAATCCAGGTAGATGGATTTCTCACCATTTAAAATTTTGCCACATTTCTACCTTTGGTGCCATCACATCCAATAAAATATATTCCTACTTTTAAGAAAGGAAAGGAAAGGAATGGGAGAGAAATTGAGTGCTCCACAATGTGGGTTCTGTGAAGGAATGCAGCTGAGAATTGGTGAAACAAGGTGTACCAAGGGTGATAAAGGAGCAGGGTGGAATCGGAAACTTGGGGAGAGAGCCAGCCTATACCATGGCCATAAAGACATCACAGAGTTATCAAAGAAGGAAGACAGACAACTGCAAATCCTGAGCCCTGCCCATAACTCCTGAGTGACTTCTCAGCTTGGAAACAAACGTTTCAAACATGTCAAAAACAGGCAAACGCAGAATGCACAGTCTAAACTGCATTTGAGGTATAACTGCTTTCCACCTGAGGATCCTAAAGAAAAAGAAGAAAGTTCTGCTAAATGCAACGAAAGCAAAACGTTTAATAATGGCAGAAAGTCAGTGAACAAATTTAATATTTGCCTATTTGTGTTTCTTAGTGTACTTCCTTTCAGAGGCTATGCCTAATGGGCTCATCGGTTGAGAACAAATCCCTAAAACCAGCTGTCAGGACCCAGACCCTGACTACAGCTTACCAGCTCTGTGGCCTTGGGGGCTTATTACTTAGTTGTACCCTTGTTTCTGCATCTTCAAAAAACAGCAGCATTTACTTCAAAGCATGGTTGTGAAAGTTAAATGACAAGTGTCTAGAGTAATACTGAAAGATTGTTAGAAGAATTTTATGATTATAATTAATAACTGGGCTTGGAGGCAAAACACTAGGACTTGAGCTTAGTTTTTTGTTTATTTTATAAACTTTCTATGGGAAATAAAAATAAAAAAAGAAAAAGACAGAGAGAGAGAGAGAGAGAGAGAGAGAGAGATATGTTTGAGAGGTATTTTTGCCACAATCCTCCTGCCCCGGCTTCTCAGTCAGGTGGGACCACAGGCATATGCCCCCACACCCAGCCTGTCGGAGTTGATCCAGGACTGAATCTGGTTCTTCCATATTGCTCCAGCTTTACACAGGAGTGTCCTACCATTTGTTGCACCACATTTGGGCCTTGAGTTTTATTTCTAATAGCTTCATGACCTTGAGCAAGGGACTCAAAAGTACGTTAAGCAGACTGTTAACTTTAAAATAGATAGAACAAAGCCTATTCCACAAATTTTTGGAGGGCTTGTTTATGTGACTGCTCTGTGAACTGTGAAGCTTTGCATAAGTTAAGGTGATAATAATTTATTCTTTTATTCAGCAAATATCAATTTATTTTCTACTATATACATTATTCTAGACCCTAGGATTGTGAAAAGGCCGTGAAAAGGCTTTGTCCCATGAAGCTTACACTTATATTAGGGCAGTAAACTAATATAATAAAAAGCCAAGCATCAGAAGTAAGAGTTTAGGGTAGGTGAGCTGTTTCAGCCAGGAGGGTGACAACTGAACAGAGAAGTGAATGAAGTGAGAGAGTGAGCTGTGAGGCTATCTGGAGGAAGGGCATCTCTTGCAAAAGGAACAGCTTGTGCAAAGGCTGCAAGATAGGAAAGAGCTTGCATGGCATGTTGAAGAGACAGCAAGGAGGCTGGTGTGGCTAGAATGGAGGAAGCCAAAAAGAGGGTGATGAGGAGGAGGACAGAAGGGTAGTCTAGGGCCAGATGTTCCTCAACCATTCAGACCATGAAACGGACAGTGGAAAGGAAACATACTAGAGGGTTTAGCTAAGGCAAAGTCAATGGATTATTAATGTTTTAGAAAAATCACTTACCTTCTGTACTAGGAATAGCTTTTTGGGGAGCAAGAACAGAAATAGGGAAATCAGTTAAGGCTACTGAAGTAGTCTGAGTGGGAGAAGGTCATTGTGCTTCTTGAAATGGCTAAATTTGAGATTTGCCAATTATTAGATATAAGATACAATATATAAGCTATAAGGATAGAGGAGGAAAAGAAAATTACAAGGCTTTCAGACTGGGCAACTGGAAAATGGAGCTGTATTTCTGAGATGGGGAATTTAGTGAGAGAAGCAGGTTTTTGGGGCTGAAGATGGGGAATTTCGGTTTAGATGTACTCATGGTAAGATTTCATAAACAGTCACAGTTCTGGTATGGTGTTGGAAACATGATCTGGGCATTACAAGTATGAATAGATAAGGTCACTAGGAATGAACCCTGACACAGAAGAGAAGTCACAGGCCTGAGCCCCAAGAACTCCAAATTTCAGGAGCCAAGAAAAGAAGCCGTCATAGGAACCATAGTACCGAAAAACAGTAATTACTTTAACTTGATTTCATTTAAGTGGCTAATTATTTTCATTTTGAATGGGCTTTTCCATGCCAAGACAGTTAGTCATTGTTCTCACAGCACTTTTCACATTGTATTATTATACCAAGTGTACTTAGTCATATTTATTTATGTATTTTTAAATCTATCTTCCCATCTAAACTGTATTTTCTAGAATTGGGACTATATTCTATTA